CCAAATGATCAAGTAATACTTGAAGACGTTCCAGAGAATCAGGGACTGAAATCGTATCGTCGGCATACCGAAGATTGTTAATGTTCACGCCGTTAATAGGATAGAAATTCCTTCAGTGCAGTCTTCCAATGCTTTTCCAAATATTTTGTTCGAATAAATATTAAAAAGTAATGGTGAAAAGATGCAACCTTACCGAACACCGCTTTTTATCCGTACTTTGTCAGCCATTTGTTGGTCTATCTTGATCTGTGCAGTCCGATTCCAGTAGAGATTTGCGATGATCTAGGCCTTCATCCTTGAGAATTTTCATAAGCTTCTCATGTTACCCTGTAACGCGTATGCGTATACAGGAACAGAAGCAACTGTAGATCTTTGATCCAGCACTTGGATGCTAAACAGGGGTCACTTGTTCCAAAATCGTTACGAGAACTAAATTGGGATTCGCTCGTGAAGGACTCAAACTTTGCGTAAATTCTTCTATGAATGATTTTTAGAAAAATCTTGGCTCATCAAGCTAACAAGGCGATAATCGCTAGATCTTTTTGCAGAGCTTTTCTCCGGAAGCGTCCCAAATGTTGAGATCTTACCGATACCATATTGGAAAGCTTCACCATTGCGTGTAGTAACTCTTTATTTATTAGGATTTTAATAAGTTCTGAGTAGACACCGTCTGGACCTGCCGCTTTCCCGTTTTTGTATAACTGAATGGCGTCTTGGACTTCTCCCTTAGTTACCTATATCTAGTCCTTCTCGTGAATACTCTTCAGGGGTTTCCTATCTCTCGTCCTGAAACTGGTTTTCGATATAACTGCACTACTGTTTTACTTTATCGTTGACATCAAGAATTATCTTACCTTGACTGTCCAACAGAATTCCGGTCTGTCGAGGTTTGTATACAAGGTATTCCTAAATATCATGTACATACAAACTGAAGGGAATGATGCTTTGGTTTATTTTATGACTAAAATTTCTAATAAACATAGGTCCGCAAACGCTTCGTTACTGATCCACAGGGTGTTGAAATTTTAATGTATTCATATTCGAAATGAGCAAGAATATAGCGGCAAGGGCGTGGGTTTTTTCTAGATTCCTATTGAAAATGAGCAAGAATATGGCGGCGGGACCTCTATTGTCCCACTGTAGGTAGAAAAGGTTTATTGAGTTACTGTAGTTTCATCTAGCTAATTTACAGGGATTTGTTTTTCAATATTTTTCTCGATAAGGGTTGGTGATACGAAAAAACTACAAGTGAACAAAAAGTTTCTAAATAAGGTAGAAAAATTATTTTATTTTCTACTTTACTATTATAGATCCATAATACCTAGGAAACGAAATACGTTAACACACCTATAACAACCTGATCCATAACGCCCGCTTTTGCGGGCGTTATGATCTATAACGCCCGCTTATAATACCTTAAGGTGTTTATTTTCTACTTTACTATTATAGATCCATAATACCTAGCAAACGAAATACGTTAACACACCTATAACAACCTGATCCATAATGCCCGCTTTTGCGGGCGTTATGATCTATAACGCCCGCTTATAATACCTTAAGGTGTTTTTGTTGTTGTTGTTCTATTAATTTGCACTTTACCCTAGGCAGCCACTAAATGTCTGACCGAAAATAATTTTCGGTCTAGCCAGGATTCGAACCCGGTCTACCATCAATGTTTCCCATGTAGTCCAGCGCGTTAACCCACAGGACCACCACCGTTGCCTTGCCTTATGAGTTGTTTATAGATATATTAATTTATTTCGTTTCTATGTACAGGTCGCAGGTACAGGTACAGGTCACAGGTACAGGTACATGTCAAAATACAAAACAATATTCTGTCACACAAGTTTAACTGATTTTGTTAATAACAAATTGATGAAAAAACATTGTGTTGAGTAGAAAATAAAGCATTGTATGCACCACGGGGATTTCAAGATTATAATGCCCTTCAGGCGAAATATATCCCTCGGGCCATAGGCCCTCGGGCTAGTTTCGCCTTCGGGCATTATAATCTACATAATCCCCTTGGTACATAAATAGCTATTTTGTTTTTGTTGTTCTATTAATTTGCACTTTACCCTAGGCAGCCACTAAATGTCTGACCGAAAATAATTTTCGGTCTAGCCAGGATTCGAACCCGGTCTACCATCAACGTTTCCCATGTAGTCCAGCGCGTTAACCCACAGGACCACCACCGTTGCCTTGCCTTATGAGATGTTTATAGATATATCAATTTATTTCGTTTCTATGTACAGGTCGCAGGTACAGGTACAGGTCACAGGTACAGGTACATGTCAAAATACAAATCAATATTCTGTCGCACAAGTTTAACTGATTTTGTTAATAATAAATTGATGAAAAAATATTGGGCTGAGTAGAAAATAAAGCATTGTATGCACCACGGGGATTTCAAGATTATAATGCCCTTCAGGCGAAATATATCCCTCGGGCCATAGGCCCTCGGGCTAGTTTCGCCTTCGGGCATTATAATCTACATAATCCCCTTGGTACATAAATAGCTATTATCCAACACATGACAGTTATGACTATTATTATTAATGTCATTTTAGACAAGTAAACTATCAAATAACACACTAGTGTGTTATAATCCATAACTCACGTTCATATTTAAAGTAGTATTCTATTTATTTATTACTATTCTTGTGAAATTCGTTGGTTCATTGGAACCAGACGCTCCCATATCGGTAGAGCTGCTGATAGTGCTGGAAGACGCCGACGCATAGAATCTTGTATTTTTTTTTTGTATTATCTCATGAAAAACCGATTTCTTTGACTTATTTTCAACATAACACACTAGTACCATAAATAACTATTGTTTTTTAGACACTACCAGCGGCCCACTGCAAAAAAGGGGGCATAACCCCTGAAAAAACATCACCCTGTAGATTCTGGGTTAACATTTGACATGTGTAATCATTTAGCTCCTATTGCGTAACCTATATTCCAAATTTGAGCTAAATCACACAAAAATTTCAGGAGCTATAAGGAAAAAATTGAATAAATATTGAAATTTGAACACCCTGTAGATCGGTAATAAAGCGTTTGCGGACCTATGTTTATTAGAAATTTTAGTCATGAAATAAACCAAAGAATCGCTCCCTTCCGTTTGTACATGATATTTAGGAACACCCTGTATAGTGGGGTAGCTAGCTACACTTTAATTTTTATCTCACGATTCAACTGACGATATGCTGGTTGGGTCTTTTTGCAGGCGTCCTTCTTCCATCAAGTCGAGGATTTCATTAATCATTGAAGCTTTTTAAATGACCCTAGTGTTGATGGAAATTCCGAGCTGACGCTAACAAAGGTTCTCTGACACCGGTCCATACAGTCTCCTTCTTGTTTCTCTGCCCTATCTACTACATTTAATTTATTATCCGATTCGTTTCTAACTTCTGAGAACCAGTCTCGAACTGTTCGTTTTCTTTTTAGTGTCAACTGGATGTTCGCTACAAGCAAATTGTGTTCCGAATTTATATCTGCGCCAGGGTAAGTCTCTGCAGATTTGATGCAATATCATTGGAATCAGCAAACGTAGAGCTATCCAATGAATAACTTATATATGGGGTGCCCTAATAAAAAAAAATCGGACCCGATATGGTGGGGCCAAATAGAAAAACAATGAGAATATCACTGGATTCTGCTTGAAATAGTTTTTGAACAACAAGTTTTGAAAACGACTTTTTTCTACTACCGTGCGTAATGTACTCACTTTACGCACTATTCAGAAGACGTAAAATTACTCTTCACGCACTAGTGTGTAAAGTATTTCACTTCACACACTAGTGCGTAAAGTAATGTCAATGACAGATGTCGACACTGACAAATTATAATTTTTCTGGTAAATTACTTCACGCACTAGTGCGTAAAGTGAAAATACTTTACGCGCTAGTATGTAAAGAATTTGTCTAAATTTATTTTTTCACACATATTTGATTGAAAGTAGAAAAAAATTTGTATGCAATACGTGCGTAAAGCACCTTTTTTCACTCATGTGATTGTCACTTTACACACTTGTTGCATAAATAACTATTCTGCGTAAAGTGAAAATTTGTTTTTTCTAAATCTATTTTTTAAACAAATATGTTTGGTAGTAGAAAACTACCCTCTAGAAGGTAAAAATGCATAAATATTCAGATTTTCGTTTTATTTCCAACTCGGACTTCGAGTCTTGCCATCAAATTAAATGAGGGTTGAAAATGGTGTTCAAATAGTACCCTATTAATTTCATGGCAAGACTTGAAGTCCGAGTTGGAAAAAAATAAGAAAATCTGAATATTTATGCATTTTTACTTGTTAAGGGTAGTTTTTCAGATTTCGCCGGAATTTGAGTCAATGGGATTTTGCATGGGCGTTAAAAGTGGTGTTATTAATTTTATGGCAAGACTCGGAAGTCCGGGTTGGGAAAAAATACGAAAATCTCAATATTTAGGCATTTTTATTTGTTAAGGGTAGTTTTTCGTACTTCGTTGGGGTTTGAGTCAATGAGATTTTGCATGAGGATTGGAAACGGTGTCACAATAGTAGGCCTTATACTTTCATGGCAAGACTCGAAGTCCGAGTTGGCAATACAATGTAAAATTGTCAATGCTTTCAAATTTTTTATGTAGAAAAGGCTTGTGTTGTCAACATAGTTAGTAAATTTTTGACGGGAAATTACCTTGAAAAAAAAAATCAAATTAAATGGCCTGTCATCTGCCAACCCTAGATATGCAATTCGATCTCAGTGATGTTTATTGTGTTCTCCTTGAAAAATCGTAGCTCATAGAACTAGAAAATTAATTTGCTGGTTATCTTTTTTCCAGACTCATCTTGGAGAGACAATTAATTAGAGTTTTTCCATTGTTAAAAATTATCACTAGACTAGATGAGAATGATGAGATGATCTTTGTCTACTGCTGATATTATATGTATTTATTTCATTTTTCAAATATGGTATGTGGATTTCTTCTGTAAATAATTGCTATTATTATTGCTAGGAATTACAAGAGCTGCTCCTCAAAAACCATCAAGACCTAATTATCGCTAAAGTAGGCAAAGAAGCAGCAGAAGAGAAAGTGAATGATCTGCAATCCGATATAATGCTACTAAAGAGTCAAATAGATCATGATCAGCAAGAACGAAAGGCAGTAGAAGAATCTTTAGATATTGAAATTAAACAATTAAGGTAAGGTTCACGCTTTCTTGATTTTGTTTGTATTTTTTTCAATTGATATTATTATAGGAAATACATAGAGAAGCTTGAAAAAGAAAAGAAATTATATTTGGCTAAGAATGCAGATGTGATAGAAAAAGAAGAACGAATAAATGAGTTAGAGAATTTAATTGTAAGTAAATTAATCTTAAATTCTTCATGAAAATTTGATAACAAATTCTTTTAGAAAAAACTTGAAAGTCAAATCCAAGAACTGAGATCTAGAGTGCATTCCTTACAAGAAGAACTTGAAACCAGCGAAACTGTTCAAAGAGATTTTGTTAAACTATCACAAAGTTTACAGGCAAGATTTTTCCTTTTTGATTTATATTTTTCAATAAGTGAATAAATAATTTAGATTCAACTAGAAAAGATTAGAGAAGCTGATCACCAAGTCCGATGGCAATATGAAGAAGACGTGCAAGATTGCACCAGTTGCCACACGCCATTTTCCAATTCGAAACGAAAACAGCACTGCAAGCATTGCGGCCAGGTTTTTTGTCCAAACTGTTTATCCAAAATTGTCAAATCAGGGCCCAATTCTAGACCCTCAAAAGTTTGTGATGTTTGCCATACGTTACTAGTCAAAAGTTCCGCTCCTTATTTTAGTAAGGAACCGCCCATGACTTGAAATTTTCCTAATTAAAAAAGCTTTATTTTTTTTTTGTTATTTGTGATGTCTAAAGTTTATAATTATTACAGCTTGAGAAAAAGATGATGAATTAAATAAGAAAACCGTTTTAAATTAATAATTAAAGTATTTTATTTAGTAACAATAGATATAGTTGGGGAGCTGGCGCCAAAAACATGCAAGAGTTTTCGCAAGGCGGATATTTTCAAAATAGGTCGTACTTTAGTGTTAGAATGCTAGTGTACAGTCAGCACTCACAGTTCCGGGACAGCTGGCTCTGGGACGCGGGCAAAGTTGTAATTTTAAGAAGCATCTAAACTGTTTTCTCAAAGCTCAAAATTTATAGAAATTTTACACATTATCTGTTTGAAGGTCACAGATAACGTATGTAAATCGTTAGACGTCTAGTTCGTTGCAAAAAGGAGGTCAGACGTCCTCAAAGTTTTTATTTTATGGCATTTTCTTCGGTGTCCTATCAAAATATATTTTTGCAGGTATTTGACAAATATATTTGAAGAAAATGCCATAAAATAAAAACTTTGAGGACGTCTGACCCCCTTTTTGCAACGAACTAGACGTCTGACGATTTACATACGTTATCTGTGACCTTCAAACAGATAATGTGCAAAATTTCTATAAATTTTGAGCTTTGAGAAAACAGTTTAGATGCTTCTTAAAATTACAACTTTGCCCGCGTCCCAGAGCCAGCTGTCCCGGAACTGTGAGTGCTGACTGTACACTAGCATTCTAGCACTAAAGTAGGATATTTTGAAAATATCCGCCTTGCGAAAACTCTTGCATGTTTTTGGCGCCACCTCCTGGACTAATATATCTTACTTTTGGTTAACAAAATTAGGCAGCAACATCAAAAAATCTATCTGTGATAGCTGAAACTTCATCTGGTTTGTGTTTAATATATTTTTCTGGGTTTTTCGTGAAATTCAATACACCATACCTACAAGAGAAATAATGAAATTTATAGTCAGCAATCAAGGTAAATGGTTGAAAACTCGAATATTTCAAAAAAAGGTCATCTTTACCTATTATAAAATGCATTATATTTGGGTATAATAAGTTCCTTATTATCCCGTTTTATGCTTTCTCGTAATTCAATGTCCGGAATCGAGTATCCTCTTTGGACTTTGGAAATCTCATCAATTTCCTTATTAAAACCTGCAAACTTTTCTTTAAGGGCGGCTCGTTCTTTGTCTTTCAGTTTTTCTCCGTGTTGGTATGGATCGTCTAGTTCAATGTAGTTTAGAAGCTTATTCCAACTTAAATGTTTTTGAAAATTAGAGTTCAGTTAAAGTTCTGCTATGATGAAAAAATAACAGAACTGTGAATGTTGGCCTATAATACCTACCATTGAGAGTAAGCTTTCTTATGCTCCTGTATGGACGTATAATAATACTCTTCACAGTTTGGTTCGGAAATTAAATATAATTCCAACAAATTGCTTCTTTGCAAGGATTTAAGCACATAATTATTATTATTTAATCTGAAGAGTGCTTTTAGGGCTACATCACTGTATTGCTCACTTTTACTGATTAATGTATGGTTAAGTTGCACCAGGACTCTTTCTGAAAAAAATAAATAATTTGTATTAAAATTCTCTGGTGTTGATCCCTGGTTGGTTTAAAAATGTTGTACTTTTAAGGACGAACTAAATACTGAAAAAATTGTATAGATGACATTTAATTAAACAATAGTATATTGTGTGTTTAGGTGGAAAAATGACACATTCTTGGCCGACGACGGTGTAAGTTGAGAAACGAGGCGTAGCCGAGGCCTGCAAACACCGAAGGCTGAGAATGTGCTTTTCCTCCGAAATACACATAATATTTTTACTACGATCACTTAGTGATTAAAAGAATAAGAAATGTTTTTGAAATAATGAGAAATGATATTTGGTATTTTCATATTATATTAGTTAAATTAATGTTTAATATTTAATTTCAAATAAATCAGTGTTATATCTGCACTACACAAATACTTCAAAAATGAATGTTGTGTTGTTCCTGAAAATCAGCAGTGCAGGAATTACTTTCCCGGCCGAGTCCCAAAAAGTGATTCCCGTACTCATGGATTCCATAGCAACTATTGAACCATAATTAAAATACCAGAATATTGAGTATTGTGGCCTGTCGACCAGTCAAAAATGTTGACATTTTTCAATCGCAGAAAAAAGAATAAAGTAAGTGGTACATTAAACCAATACCTAACAAAATGTATTCGCAAATATAGATATGTACTCAAGAGTACGACCTTCTAGCTCCCGGGAGCGAAAGTGAACCAGCTTTCCTGGGAATATCCTGGAAACACTCCCTGCCCGGGCAGTCAAGAATAGGGGGCCTGTGGGGGTTATTGGGGGGAATGCCCGATTTAATGGTTGTACTTGCAATGTTGCCAATATTACTCTTTCTAAGATGCTATATGTAACTTAATTTTTTTTTAGGGAAGTATATCATAAACTGACAGTTTTCCATGGAGAAATGTCAGTTTAGGGAATACTTATCGTTAAGGCTTTCCTGAAATAGTTGGTGGAAAGGGCCATAAAACCTCTAAATGCCAAACCTTCAACAGGATTTAGGGAAATTTGAAAAGGCGTATTCAAGATTTATAGAGAGGCTGGTAGACCCAGGGGTCGTATTTTCGAAACCATGCGTTTGAGAACGTTTTTTTAATAGACATTTCTATTTTTGGCGTTGCTGTGGTTCATGTAATTTATGTTTTTTTGAATAGAAAACTCGCGTTTGATAGCGACTTGACTACTTGACAGCGACAATTTCGCAATGGCATGTAATATTGACAGTTGAGTTGAAGAGGGCGCTTCTGTACTTGGATCTCTTTAAATTTTGGCGTGTAAAAATTCGATTGTAATTCTAACCTCAAAACTGAAGTTTGATGTGTAGTTTCAAGACAAGCTGACGCTGACACTTTTAAAAATATTCTCTCAGGGCCACTGAACGCTTTAGAAGATATTTTAACTTATGCATTGTCCATGGTTCATATGTAGTCATCTTTCTTTCTACTCAATTTAACCAGTTTTAAACTATTGATATTTACCGCCAAAATTTAAAACACTCCAAGTTCACTCGCGCCCTCTACAAAATTTTCGGATTGGGTCCCCAGTACAAATTTAGGATATACTACGATAATTGATAGAAGCAGAATGAACAAGCCAGTAAGCTAAGCTACATGCCAGATCTGTGCACCGATCAGAATAGTCAAAACGTTTGAGGAGTCATTCTACCACAAATTTATTTTGCTAAAGTTTATTTGTAAGGTAGTTAGTATCAAACTTTTTTATTTTTTAAACAATTTAGATTCTTAAGCATTATTTTTGTTAATAAATTGTTTGTTTACTATTGTTGAACTGAAATCTAAAGTGGCATGTCTGTAAATAAAGATTCATTCATTCATTCCATTCATTCACAAAAACTAAAAACAACTTAAAATTTATTGAATAAATCAAAAAACGCAAAAATTCCAAAGCACAAACTCAAAAAACATTGTAAACAATGATCTATAGGCTTTGTTTGCCCCTCAGCTAATATGGCGGACCTGTCAAAAGTCACGTGACCTGGAATGCCTAATGGCCGTTCGTGTCAAATATTGTGGTGACAAGCCGGTGACGTTTTTGTGTTCATAAGGAGAGTATTTGTGTTCTGGCCCTTATTAACTGGATATTTGCTGCCATTCTCTGCGGTCGCAAGTCACAGAATAAAGGTCTGGACACACATGACCGCAGAATGAAGGTCTGGACACATTTCGTTGGAAATTCCAATGCGGCGAAATTCGAACCAGCGGGGTGCGGTGCACTCCGAGCCGGTTTCTCAATAGCGAGTCACCTCCGGGTTGGTTTTAACTCCAGGGTAAGTGTGTCTAGTTGCTATGTTTACCCCGGAGTTATGCCTGGGGGTGACTCGCTATTGAGAAACCGGCCCTCCGTGTTTTAACTTGAAACATTTGTGAACGGAATGAAAATGTCAGAAAGAACGGCTCGATTGATCTATGAACGATATTCGAGCGATTAATCACACAGAGCGTCTTTTGTGTATATTTTATGAACGCACTCCTGTTATCAAGATGCGGTCTGCACCAGTGAAAATTTCATGAAACTTGAGCCTCAGAGTGGGGTGTTCATTTTGTTTGTTTTTTTGCTCAGAAAATGACGCTTTCTTCCAAAAGTGTCCCTGTCCAGGGTGGTCGAAATTGGACACTTTCTTATGGAAATACCCTTTATTTTTAGAGATAGAAAAAACTGCACCGGTGTCTGGAACTCAAAATTTAATGAGAAAATCAATGGCGGAAAAAAAAATTTGTTATCTCTCATATCGTTTGGCCGCTAGAGGGCTTGTCTCGATTTGTTTCAATTTCTTTAATGTTCCATAACTTACTTATTAATTAAAGATAATTGATTATGGTAAAATGTTTCTTGGGCACTTTTTTATGTAGAATACATTGCGATAGACATTTTTTATACAGGGTATCCATTTTTCCAGATCAACCAATGGGATCTCGGAGACGGTAAGAAATACAGGGTCGGTCAAATAAGGGCAAAGTTGCGCAATTTATGGAAAATAAAATGCCGCTTTGAAATTTGATAAAATCCAAATACTTCCGGAGATATTCGAACACCCTGTATAATATTTAACATAAATATAACAAGTGATATATCAAAACGTGAACGGAAATTTCACACTCTTTTTTAAAACCTCATAATAGATAGGGTGCGTCCGTATGAAAAAAATGAGTTTGGCGTCGTATAAAAAAAACAAACATCCTCTATAAAAACTGTCTATTACAATGGATTTTAACACGTTGACGGAGACTCAATTTTTTGGTGCGTTGATATTTGGGCAATAGCGGCATATGCCGCATGTTGCATTGTGTTTTCATTGACATTGACAGGATATGCCGCGTAAACTTTTATCTTAGACAAAGAGATCAAGGTACCGTTTTCAACTGTCACCTATAATTTTGGTGTCATTTCTTACGATGGAAGTATGACGTCAAATGCCGCGGGTGTCCGTCAACGTGTTAAATAAAAAAGTGCCCCAAGAAACTTTACATTGAAACATTCTACCATTACTAATTATCTATATTGGAGATAGCAGAATTTTGTTTCGGCCATTGATTTTCTCATTCAAACTCCAAACAACTGGGTCTATTTTTTTCTATCTTCAAAAATAGAGGGTGGTTCCATAAGAAAATTCTCAATTTGGACCACCCGGTACACACTTGGAGCCATCCATCATCGGGATCTCGGGAAAGGTGAGAGATACAGGGTTGGTTAAATTGGGACAAAGTTGGGTAATTGGATGCGCAACAAAATGTCGCTTTTATATTCAGGATATTCCGAATACTTCCGGAGATATCCGGACCTGAATATTTTAAAATTATTATTTGATATAAGTATCGTCAAACGTTCTGGACAGGTGTATTTTTAAGAGGATTTCTGAATACCTAGAAGCACTTTAAACTGATGGATAGATAGATTTCTTTATTCGATCATGTTTACAATTACAAAATTGGTGGATGATTTCGGTTTTCGAAAAGCTTGAGTAGTACCTTAGAAAGAATGGATTGGGCTGGGACTCCTTAACGGATAGAAATCGGTATCCCCATCGTTATGGTACTTGTTATTCTCTTCTCTCTTTTCGAAATCAATAGAGATGGGATGCCAATAGAGATAGAGAAAATATTTCTATTTGTTACAGAGTTCCAGCCCTGTTTCCTCATGTTTCTGAAGCTGTCTATAATTAAAAAAAATATCTGCACTTATGCACAATGTTTTGAGACCTCGGAAAAGCTTTCAGCACAGTCTAGGTTCTAGGAGAACAGCTTTGCTCATTGCGTCAGCCAATGGCTCTCAATCTGATTGAAATTATATAATTATGTACCAACGCTGGTAATTATTTACTTTAGCCAGAATTGCCCAAGAACTGAAAAAATAATCTTTTTCGATGATGAGCATTTCTGGTATTATTGTTCATGGATTTTTTTAACAAGCATTTGTAGAATTTCCGCTCTATACTATACAATCCTCGAGAGATTCAGAAATTGACTCTTCAGGTCAAAAACCAAGCAGAGCGTTTTTGATTGGTCCAAATAGCCAACAACTAGTTTCCTGACTATTTTCAACCAATGAAATTCGCTCTGACTGGTTTGTGATTTCTGGGTTTCTTTTATCAACACCACTGTTAAATTACGGAATAAATTTTTTTAAACACAGCAGTGCAATTTATCAGACATCTCGCGATGCAATCAATTTATAATGAGAAAAGCTTCCTGGGTGCATTATTTTGAGAAATGGCAATGTCAACTAGCCACCCAAATTGTGGAATCTTACAGCTTGGACATTCTAATTATTAGAAAATAGTTAGTACCAATAACCAAAACCATCTAAAAACATAAAATAGTTATCAAGCAGTAAATTATTTTATGCACTTCAGGGATTAAACTTCACTTTATTTCCCAGGGATTAAATGAAACACGGATTAAAAAGTACTTTTAATCCCTCTGGTGCCGGTACTTTTGTTCTCAGTTTCCGAACTTGAAAGCTGTTAAAAATAATCAGGGGTTTGAATGTGCTCTAACCACATCATAATCATAGACTTCGGCCCATTCAAAACCTTGTTGAATTTAACGACTTATCAAATTCGTTAATCGAGAGCAAAAGTATCGGCCCCTAAAGTACATTAAATACAAAACTAAGACATGTGAACTTTTTGTCTCGGGATTAAAAATACCACTTTAGTCCCTAGGTATAGATACAATGTAATTGCCTACCCTGCATAACCATCAACTTCACTTACTTATATACAATCCGATAAAAGCCTTATTTTGATCTGAATACTTCAACTTTTCCAATTGTCTGGCGTAACTTGGATCTTGCCCCAAAACTATACCGATAGTGTCACTATAATCCAGTAATTGTTCTAAAAACATTATAACATTACTGGTAAGCTCATGAACGGTCCCATCTGGTGGTAGTTGAGTTACTGAATCAGATCTCAGGCTCTCAATAAAGTCGTCTAAGGCTTTGGCACCCTAAAATTCGTAAACTATAGAAAATTCAAAAACATATTAATCTTTATCCACTTACTGTGGCTTGTAACATATGCAAAATTGACTCAAACTTATGCTTGACATTCAAATCGCATTGTTCTATAGTACGATCAAAATCAGGTTTCAAGGCACGCAATTGCTTGAATATTGGAAAAATAACCAATACAGTACCAAAATCGTGTCTTTGAATGCATTTTTTAGCTCTGGTGACAATATTCTCTCCATCTTGTACCAAAGTATCCATAGCTTCTCGAACTATAAGTTCAAAAACACGAGGTCTGTGAGTTTGAGTTATTATCTCTTTCATTAAATGTTGTTCTAGTTGCATGAGTTTGTGCAAAGCTATGACGCAGATAAGATAGTTTTCCATTTCTTGTTCATTATCTACTTCTTCTCCACTGTAGGAAGTATCTGAAAGAAAGTAAAATGGTTTTGAATTGAAAATTCTTAATTTTTTTCTTTACCCAAATGGGACGCCCTTCTTGTTCCTAAATTGAGCCCAGTAGAATGTTCTAAAGTTTGAGAGGCCCTTAGAAACATTCTATTAGCTTTTCGCTCAAAAGCTTGCAACCTACGAGTGGAATGTTGGCGTTTAGCCTCATGCCTGTTAGGAAACTTTGCCTTCTGAAATGTATTTTGGTTAATAAACAAAAAAAAACCTGTTGCAATGAATTTTATTACCAACATTGGAGAACTTGTAGTTCCATGCACACTGCCACCACTAACAGATTTTTGATGGTTTCTTAACATGGTAAGCGATCTTTGTAAGACATTGCCTCTAGTTTTACCATAAACAGTTAAAAACTCGTCTCGATTGTGGCTCAAAAGCCAAGAGGAAATTTTAATTAATTGCTCTTTAGCTTCTGGAGGTATTTGCTTGGGCAGAGCTTTAGTTTCTTTGGATTCTAAAAAGTAGAGTTTATGGAAATTCGATATTTGGTAGGTGTTGAAAGCGTTACCTTCAAAATTAATGAGATCCAATAAAACTACTGGCAAAATTGGAACGTTATATTTGTCCAAAATTGTTTTGAACTCTGAGTTCAGTTTGTCACTGCCTTTATGGAAGAAAGACGACTGAAATTGGAAAATTACTTATTTTATTAGTTTAACTATCTCTAATAGTGACTGGAATAATTCTTACCACATTAATTAATTCAACACTTTGTGGTATATTTTTTTCAAAGTATTTTTGTGCATTGTAAAGTCTGTTCAGGGCATCAATGTATTTGTCAAGCTCTATGCCCCCTTCGCCAGGTCCTTTTTCAATTATATTTTCCACATTACTTGAAACTTCATAGTAGCCAATTACGTTGTCTAGTAGTTGCATTGTACAGTCAATATCTGAAATTAAACACATTTCTTGAATGCTAACTCTAGTTCATACATTTTAATTAAACAGCTTTGGTTACTTTCTATGCCACAGTAAAATACAGAACTAGGATTAATATAAAAATCTACTACCTACCTATAGAAATTACAAATCGAAAAATCCAAGTTAAGTCGGGCGTAGTCTTTTCGGACGAAAAAAGTTCTCAGTCATGCCGAACATTAAAAGTCTACCTATAGGCCTCGACGAGCCAAATATGATAAGGACTACATACAATCCAATAAATGTAGTGGACGGTTTTCTGTCCATGCATGGGCTTGGATATGTGCCGAAGGTCTGGCGGAAATTTATTTTTTTCATGGACGTCCTCTGAGTGGACGTCTAACGAGCAATAAATATATAGATATACTAATAACTAGGGGATGTTATGGAACCATCCGTAAACGAATGCTTTTGGAGATAATTGTACATTCTAGCCTTGATTCTAGCATGTAAGTGTAAGACCATTTGAGGGATCATTACATTGTAGGTAAATCCATCTTATGCAAACTTTATTTTATTTCAGGAAAATTCTCCAGTGCATACGGCGCGTGTGATAAAAGAGTTAAAATACTGGTTTGAGGACTCCATTATTAATGTATTGCCTTGACTTGCGAGAAGCCCAGATCTTAATCCCATTGAAAATATCTGAGGGTTATCTCACAAAAAAAATTACTCTAAAAAATTTAGGCCGCGTCGAGGGAAGATTCAAGGGAAACAGTAAGGACTGAATGGGATGCTTTAAGAGAAAATTATACTTTTCAAAATTTTAAAGTCAAGGTGGCCATATTCTAGTTTTGGTCTAATGTAAGTCGTGTACAGTTTTTTATCATTTTTACAGTTTGATTTTCAAAAGCTTGTCTCATAAGGTATATCAGTTGATTGGCCTTTTTTACTGTGTGGTCTGTGTGGGATATATGGGATTCCCATTTCAGATCATCGGTGACATAGATTGCTAGGTCTTTCTGTTCGTCCTATGTGTAAAACTGTACACTTTTTTCATTTAGTTTTAGCTTCCATGTAGTTGTCCATTCTTCTACAGTTCTCATGTCTTCCTTTAGTTGATGCAGTTGTGTTAAAGGATTTCCATATAGTTTTTTGTCATCCGCAAAGGATTCTACTTTGGTTTTAATAGATTTTGACAGATCAGAAATGTACACTATAAAAAAAAGAGAAGCAAGCACAGATCCTTGTGGTACTCCGCTGACGACTGGGTACTAATCAGAGCTGGTTCCATTTGCTCGAACATAGAAAGTTCTTTGCTTAAGAAAGGAGCTGCTCCATTGTAGGTACTTGCCTCTTATTCCATAATGGCTCAGTTTGTGACAGAGTCTCTCGTGTGATACTGTGTCGAAGGCTTTCTGAAAGTCGAGATATATGACGTCAATTGGCTTGCCTTCATCTAGGTTTATAGACCAGTCATCCAGGCAGCTGAGAAGATTTGTTGTAGTAGACCTTTTTGGCATAAAGCCATGCTGAGTAGAAGGTATGATGTCATTTTCTAAGAGAAAGGATGTTGTTTCTTTTACAGTGTGCAGGTCAGGCTGATGAGTCTATAATTGGACGGGTCGTTTTTGTCATCACTTTTGTAGATTGGTATCACTATAGCTTTTTTCCAGATCTCTGGTATGGTACCATTGTCTATTGAATCTTGGTATATTTGGGCTAATAGGGGTGCTAGAGATGTAGCACATTTCTTTAGAAATATAGATGGTATCCCATCTGGGCCTGGACTTGAGTAGGTTTTTAGGTTACTTAGAGCTGTGGTGACTTTTTCTGTTGTTATGTTAATGACAGTGAGTTGATTATTGTTCATTGTCTCTATGGGCAGTGTTGGCATGTTTGTAAGGTCTTCTCTGGTGTAGACGGAGTGAAATTGGTTTGCAAAAGTATTTGCGGTGGTCTTTGAGTCTTTTATAAGGTTATTGCTTATTGGATCTCGTAAGATTAAATCATGAACCTGGCTGCTTAGATTGCACTTGCTATAAGAATGGAAGTGTTTGTCATTTTTTTTCCAGAAGATTTTGTTCATAGCTTTTCCTTGCTTCAGAGATTAATTTTTTTAGTTTGTTATTTTGTATTCTGTATCTGCTGTAGCCTTCGTCGGTTTTATTTTTAACATACTTGTCCCATAGTTTTCGCTTTTTGTCAATTTCTTTAAAGATTTTCTGATTGAGCCATGGTTTTCGATGGTTAGTTCGGCATGTTTTTTCTGGAAAGAAATGTTCAATTGTTGAGGTAATAGTGCTTTCGAAGAGAGCGTTATTTGGGCGGTGGCTGCTATCATAATGTGATCACTCTTACCTAATGTTGACCTGGGTTCTATTTGTGTTATCATTTTTTTGTCACTTGTTAAGAATAGATCCAGTAAAGAGCTTTCATTGTTTCTATGTCTTGTCTTGAAGGTGACTATTTGTCGACATCTCCATTCCTTATATTTTGTTAGAAACTCGTTTGCTTTTTGACATGGCTTTGTGAGTTTAAGAGTTTTCCAGCATATTTCGGGGTAGTTAAAGTCTCCACAAACAAGCACGTCAGAGTTTTCTTCAAACATTTTTTGGATTGTAGATTTCTTGGGATTTTGATGTCTCTAAAACATCAACTTTTTGTTTTAGGGCTGTTATTTCTGCATAGGATGCAGCTTGAGTTGTTTCCTGTTTTAGTTGTTCCAGATTTTTTTAAGTTTCTTGTAGTGACCCTTCAAGCTCTTCTACTTTTTCTGGGATTTTTTGTTGTTGCATGTCGTTAAGTGCCTGGGTGACAGCCGAGGTGACAGCTTCTAGAGAAGCTACCTTTGATTTTAATGTTTTTATGTCGGATTCGACTTCTTTTTTTACTTTTGGGAATTCTTTTAAGGGTTTTACGCATGTTGAGCAGAAATAAGACAGAACTCGCTCTTTGAGTTCAATAAATCTTATTTCCGTTGAAGACAATTTTTCACAGATTTCGCACAAAATCGTTCTACAAGTGTCGCATGGTGCGGCAAATGGTTTTTAAGAAAGCTCTCTATCCTTGCTTTTTCCTTTGCATTTTAGTTTGCATTTTGCACATACTAAACTCATGGTTTGTTTATTTTAACAGCCTGTATTGTTTGCAGATTATTTTTTGTTGAAAAGATAAGAAGGGACACCAAAATTGCTTTGGCTCTTATCTGTTTTTTTTTTCCTTTTTTTATTCTTGGTTCACTTCAATTGTTTTGTTGTTTTTCCAATTTAACCATTATTTCACAACTTTTTTTAAAAGTTTTAGGATTTGATTTACGTGCAATTTTTTTCGCTTTGGATTGATATAAATTTCGCGTTTTATTTTGCACTTTTACTATGCAAATCACGTTTGGTGTTAAGCAGTGATCAATAAACAATCTGTTCCGACCGAAACCTGGACAAGACATATTCAAAAATATTTTCAACTAATGTACATTAGAGTATCAAACAACTTTATAATTTATTTTTTTTTTTCTTGCATCACCCTGCAAGGAGATATCGTCCGATATCGCACTAAGTGGACACCCTGTATATTCTCGCACCTTGATGAATTAACAATAGAAAATAAACAAATTAAGGCTGATTCATGCATAAAAATATTTTCCGTTTCTGTAACTTAGTCACTATCTATATCCGTAAGCAATGTATAAATTGCATGTATTTATATGGTGTTCATGCACATTACTTTTCTGTATCCTTTTCTTTATTCTATACTAGCTGACCCGGCGAACTTCGTACCGCCTCTGAATTATTAAATATACCTATTAAATGTAGTGTTAACGTATCTATTAGCTGAATCAAATTTAGTTTTTTTCGATGGTGAATTTGGCTTTGGTTGAAGAAAATTAATGTATTGGGTACTCTCTGGATCAGAAGTCACCTAAAATTAAAATTTTACACCATCCTTTTTTAAGCAGCTTTTGGGCGTTATTCTTGTAAAGTGTACCACCAAATAAATAAACTCAGGCACAGCAATGTTCAAAGGATGTAAAGAAAAAAAAAAAACATCTATCTCTAGCGCAGCCCTGTTTCACTCTATCTGCACTGCACTACTCTATCTGTTCTACTCTATATGCACTACTCTATCTGATCTACTCTTTTTGCACCACTCTATCTGATCGGAATAGTGGAATAGTTCTGTTCGAAATAGCTCCAGTTCCTGAGCAGCTTTGTTCTACTGTATCTGCAATGCCGAGCTTCGTTCCAGGTATCAGAGATGGCGCGATATACAAAATACAAAATAAACTTGGTATCGGTTATAAGAGATGGCGCCGTAAGCAGGCTTAGTAAATTTTTTTCATAAATAAATAAAATAAGTAATGAAATGACCACATTAATGACATAACAACATGCTGGTACTGTCAAAGCTGAAAAAAAGTTTCAATTTGACAGCAAAATCCCCATTAACAAAATGATCCTCAATTTATTTATTACAAAAAATGTGATAAATGAAGAACGGCTCGACCGATTTTGTGCAAACTTCACATAAACCATCTAATAAATAGTCCGAGCAAAGCCTAAACATTTGGTTTGGCTAGGTGAGCCCGTTCTAGAGTTATAAAATTACAACGAAAAGTGGCATTCATTTTTATATATATAGATTGAGGGACCTTGAACTTTCATCCTCTACGGAAAAAGTTACGGATATAATCGACGACGCCTGCACAGTAGATAAAAAAATCCAAATTTCTCGACAACCTTAAAAACAGCAAACCGTTAAGGGCAGGTTTCTCGATAGCAAGTCCCCCCCTGGGTTAAGCATAACTCCAGGGTAAACATTGCAACTAGACACATTGACCCTGGAGTTAAAGTTAAAACCAACCCGAAGGTGACTCGCTATTGAGAAAATGACCAGTTAAATGTGAACAACAAATACCTGTCTCGGAATAATTTATAAAACCCAATGATAAAACCAAGGATAAAACCAAACAAAAATGGTAATTGACATAGCAAAATCTTATTGAAACCATTCGCAGTTTCCCACATACGACATACGTCAACAGTATCGATATCAAAGACAGAAAAACTCTTAATTTTTGGTGCATGAAATACCTTAAATTTCAGGGCAAAAGAAAAGCTTATGCATAAGGAAAAAGTTAAAGAAACAAAATGTGCATAAACCAGCCTTAATTCTCTAGAGAGTAGATACCTACTGTATTGAGCTTTCTGAAGACTCTCCGTTTCATTATAAACTGGCAGAATAGTTTCTTCTAGTCGGGATAGCCTTTGTTCAAAGGTGTTCAGAATGTTGCCAATGCCTTTTGTTATTTGGGCACTTTTCGATAATCGTTCTTGTAAGAGGGAGAGATTAGTTTGTTCCTATAAAAAAAATATGAAATAAAATTAACTTGCTAGAGACCTTACTAGACTACTAGAGACACAATCGGTGCATCCAGGCCAAGAAAAAAAAACTCAAAAGGCAAGTTTTCTCAGTAATGGCTTCAAATAAACTTATTTGCCTCTCTGAAATCTCAAATGCTCTACTACTGTTTTCGAGTACATAGATTATAGATTTTGACCTACCTTCTCAAGTTTGCTCAAAATCTCAAGCCCAGATTCGTCCCCCATTTTAAGAAAACTCTAATTATCTAAACTAATGAAAAATAACACTTGATACAGATACTCATACACTAAATACACCCAAGGGCTCAGACCGCTCCAGACCAGTGACCTCTGATTGACAGGTAAACGTAAACATAAACAAAAACAGCCTAAGCCGCGTCTACACTTGGCATAAAATAAATGTCCTTGTCAATTTTTTTTTTGCTCTGTGTTCTATGCTTCGGTTCTAGTTCCTTGAGTGACTTTGTGACAATAGGTCTGTTCGCACAGAAATGACCAACCCAAGTCACCAACCAACCAGTCATAGCTAATTTCATTGGTTAAAAATCGCTGTAGTTGAAAACAGTAAGAAACTCAACTACTCAGGATTGCTTATCGGCCTCGTTTTTGGGAATCACGGTCATGTTGTGTAGCACCATTGACGACGTCATCAACTACGTCGTCAGCTGTTTGCGTCAGCGGTCGTAGTTTAGAATATACATTTATGATGAAAAATAATATTTAATTTTGATTAACATATTAGGTAAAGGGGAAGATGCAAACGAGACCTGAAAAAGCGTTGTTCTAGAATGTTAATACAAGCTGCCTACGTCATCACTCGTTCTTTGGTGTGGTGGGGGACTTAAGATTTGATCTAGACAGGCCTTATGAGGAGGAGGAGCTACGTAGTAAGTAAGAGTAGTGTGGAGTACAGGGCCGAGTTCAGAACTAACGCACAGGGTGCGAGTGCGATTTTATGGGTGTGCCTGAATTGACAATTGGCCATTGGGCTCATAGCACCGTCTAGCATTTTTGAACAGCTAGGGCGTCGCACCGGTGTCACACTCACACTGGAGCCGCTTTCCAGTATGGGAGTGTGACGCCCGGAGCTACTCGGGGCGTTGAGCCCCCGAGCTGTACGTACGCGTCAACCTATCAGCTGTCACATCCGTGGGTGGCTATTTATCTATTTATTTCTTGTTATATCTCAAGATTGAACATTTTAAAATATACAGTTTTGATTCTCTTTCATTTTTGATAAATAAAAAAACAAACTGCACAAACAGACAGATAATTATTTTTAAAATTTGACATATTTGACACTAGACGGGCGTCTCACGCCATGATACTGGAACGGTACAAATCTAGTGCGTGGCGCCCCTGAGGTGCTCTAGAGCGCGCCGGAGCGCGCCAATGTGCATACTGGAAAGCGGCTTGGGTGTGTCAGTGCTGAACTCGCCCTAGAGGTGTGATCGGTTTGAAGTAGTGTGTAATATCCTTGTGAAAAAGTGTAGTAGTGAAATCAAAGGTGGGTTTGGCTTGCTCACTCCGTGCACTCCGAGTGACTCCATACGCACTCCAGCCGTTCGGGTATTACTTTTTACTGTATAAGGAGTGACTCCGAGGGTGACTCCATTAGCTCTGTTCACTCCCCTCCAACTCCGCGCTGAATAGCCGAACCCAGCTGAAGTGGTTATTTGTTAAATGTCATATCAGTCCAAATCCAGTCATGTCATGGTCAAGTGTCAAGTCAACTAGGGTTGGGGTAGGGAGTGATTTGGAGATTTCTCTATTTTGGAGAAACATTCAATTAATTTGTAATTTTACTCCGAACTAAATAAAAGAATTATGATTTGATTGGTTCCTTGCCCCTCAGTGAATCAGGACAATAAGTAATAATGGTCACCGAAGATTACATAAAGACGGAATACCCATTGCACTGGCTAGTGTGGAAAAATGAACATAAACTTTTGGAGAAGTTAGTAAAGGATAAGAAGGTGGGGCCCCCGATTTGAATTTTCTTAGTGTTGTCTAATAATATTCATATCCTCGTTCTAAGCTGAATAATCCTTGTAGAATGACAAAGAAAAAGTGGATAATAGAGGCAGGACTCCCTTAATGTTAGCTGTAACTTTGGGCCATCTAGAGTCTACTAGGGCCCTATTGAATCATGAGGCGAATGTTAATTGTGAAAATAAAGATGGTTGGAATGGTAAGAGATTCCTATTTTAACTCGTATTTTAATCAACAATGTAAGAAATACTTGATAATAATCTGGAAAATCCAATAAGACACCCCAATTTACTTATTAGTGTCAAGCAATAGAAAACCCTTTTACCAGCTATACAAGATAGTTCAGATAGTATAATATTAGTCCAGGAGGTGGCGCCAAAAACATGCAAGAGTTTTCGCAAGGCGGATATTTTCAAAATATCCTACTTTAGTGCTAGAATGCTAGTGTACAGTCAGCACTCACAGTTCCGGGACAGCTGGCTCTGGGACGCGGGCAAAGTTGTAATTTTAAGAAGCATCTAAACTGTTTTCTCAAAGCTCAAAATTTATAGAAATTTTGCACATTATCTGTTTGAAGGTCACAGATAACGTATGTAAATCGTCAGACGTCTAGTTCGTTGCAAAAAGGGGGTCAGACGTCCTCAAAGTTTTTATTTTATGGCATTTTCTTGAAATATATTTGTCAAATACCTGCAAAAATATATTTTGACAGGACACCGAAGAAAATGCCATAAAATAAAAACTTTGAGGACGTCTGACCCCCTTTTTGCAACAAACTAGACGTCTGACGATTTACATACGTTATCTGTGACCTTCAAACAGATAATGTGCAAAATTTCCATAAATTTAGAGCTTTGAGAAAACAGTTTAGATGCTTCTTAAAATTACAACTTTGCCTGCGTCCCAGAGCCAGCTGTCCCGGAACTGTGAGTGCTGACTGTACACAAGCATTCTAACACTAAAGTACGACCTATTTTGAAAATATCCGCCTTGCGAAAACTCTTGCATGTTTTTAACGCCAGCTCCCCAACTATACAGGGTGAATCTGAAAGTGAGGCTTTTTTTTTTAACAGGGTATATATCTCGCTAAAATAAGTTGTTTGGCAAAAATTTTTTTACATAAAAAATCTAAGATAACGGAGGTACAGGTATTTAAAGATATAAAAATTATTACGTTGAAAATGGAAAAAGGAGTTTTTGATTGATTTTTCTGATGAAATAATGCAACGTATATCTCGCAGGGTTGGCAGGATATATATCAGCGATAAATATCCTGATATATATCTTGATAAATATCATGATATTTATGCTATAAATATGATGATATATACCAATATTATGTGTATGGCCTAGGGTGACCATATTTTTTTTGTATGAATGCTGTACAGGGTGGGCCAATTTGGACACTTTCTTATGGAAACACCCCTTATTTTTAGAGATAGAAAAAAATTAACTCCCCACTCTGAGGCCCAAATTTCATGAAATTTTGATTGGTGCAAACCGCATTTTGATATCTTCAACCTTTTAGCCGGTAGAGGGCGATTCTCGATTTTGAACAATATTCTAAATCCTTCATAACTTATTTGTTTATGAAAATAATTTATTTCCGTAAAAACTTTCTGGAAGCACTTTTCCGAGCAGAATTCAATGACGTTCTCAGTTTTTTTCTATATGGCGCCGATTTTGAGATATTGACCAAAGTCTGATTTTTTTCAATGGGACACCCTTTATATTATTAGCTCATTCAAAAGCTATGATTTTTCTGATTTTAGTGATATAAAGTTCGATAGGTTTATCTCGAATAGTTTTTGAGAAAAAAATTATTTTGGTTTTTGTCATAAGAAACAATATGTTAGAAAGAGACCTTTTTCATTTTCCTTACAGATATAAAATCCTTTTCTAACACATTGCTTCTTATGAGAAAAACCGAAATAATTTTTTTTCTCGAAAACGGTTAGAGATAAACCTATCGAACTTTATATCAATAAAATCAGAAAAATCATACCTTTCCAATGAGCTATTAATATAAAGGGTGTCCTATTGAAAAAAATCAGTCTTTGGTCAATATCTCAAAATCTGCGCCAAATAGAAAAAAACTGAGAACGTCACTGAATTCTGCTTAAAAAAGTGCTTCCAGAAAGTTTTTACGGAAATCAATTATTTTCATAAACAAAAAAGTTATGAAGGTTTTACAATATTGCTCAAAATCGAGAATCGCCCTCTAGCGGCTAAACGGTTGAAGATATCAAAATGCGGTTTACACCAATCAAAATTTCATGAAATTTGAGCCTCAGAGTGGGGGGTTCATTTTTATCTATCTCTAAAAAGAAAGGGTGTTTCCATAAGAAAGTATCCAAATTGGCCCACCCTGTACACATCTAAGATTTTGGGACAGGTGAGTCGACTTTATAGCCCGTTTTAGTACCACTTAACAAAAAATTTTAAAAAATCTGGGTGCTTTAATATAATGACATATAACATTAGATGTTCCTGATGACATCATCTGCTGACCATTACCAGACAACCTATTAACTTATAGGGCCCAATTAGTAATTGCAGTATATTTGCATCTGTAAATTTGCAGTTCTGCAAATATGGTCGACTTGCATATGTGCTCTATTTGCAAGAACGAGCAAATTACAGAAAAAATCTGCAATTCCGTCATATTTATCTAAAAAAAGTGTTTGGGCGCTACTGATTTACCAGGTTTAAATGTCAAAGTTGTCGAGGTGACTGCAAAGACTGACGGGACCAATGAACTATAACCAAAAACTGGAATGCGAACACATATTGACGAACGTGAAGCCTAGTGCCGCTGCTGCGGAGGGGATACCTGTTTTTGTCGCACTCATTATGTTAAATGGCGGAAATTGCTTCCAACACGTATTCCAATTGCTGAAACCTGTGAAGGTAAATATGACAAAACTTTCGAAAACGTCATATGTCAGCGAGCAACAGAAAAAAGCAACATTCTCCCTTGTGGCATATGTCTTCCATGTCTACATTTTTTTGGCAGATATGGCAATGTGTGCGCATTCCAGTTTTTGACTATAGTTCATTGGACGGGACCGTTTCACCACGCGCAAATTTGCAGGCGACTTGCAAATGCATTCTGCTTCTGTAATACGAAAAGTCAGACTAGAGGTCCTGCATTTGTATCTTGGTGTTGCAGAGCTTCTGTAATTCCGGGCTTAACCTTGGGTTGAAACTAGTTTTCCGACTGTTTCCGACTTTCTAACTATTTTCAACCAGTGAAATTCACACTGACTGGTTTGTAGCAGCGTGGAATAGAGAAAGATAAAAAAAGGTAGTTAGCATTAAAAAGAATACTCTGGGAGATGATGGCGTAAATGACGTAAATCGCAAATGTAGAACTGTCTTTACTTATTGACGGACAATTTTTCGTAAATTCTTTTCAAGAAAAACCTAATTATGATCGGATCTAAATCGCTGTACGTTCGCTGTACCAAATCAAATGCTGGACAGACTTTGAAAATGCTGTACAATACAGCGAAATGCTGTACGTATGGTCACCCTAGTATGGCCTTCTTTCCTTATTTTATAGTTTTATTATTTTATGTTGAGAAGTTTAACGGCCATAGTAGTATTGTGTGAGAAAGAAATCACAAGGATCTCAGCCAAAACAGTCTATATTACGTCAATTATCAATTATTATTTTATTTATTTTTATTTACGTATATAAGAAATATCAAGTTTTTTAGGGCAAGTATTATGAAACTATTTTGACAGATAACTAAATGTTAACTTCTGGAGTTACTATGAGAAATACCATCATTCGAGAAGTTAACTTCTAGTTATTCTGTCAAAATAGTTTTATAATACCCGCCCTAAGCTGTCTTTGTTTTTTGTTGTTGAACCACGGCTTAAGGCAAACATAAGTAGTATAAATGACATAATTTTTTTCATATTCTTAAATTCGAATTTTTATTTACCTACTACACTTTACGTTCCTATACATATGTATAGGAGATAGGAACACAAAACTTGTTATCGCCATACCAACTTTGCATGTTTGTAACATTTTATTAAATGTACCATTTACCATAAAGTTATTTTGAATTTTAATAATATAGATAACAGAAAACAGATGAACTAATTTAGGCAATTAAAAATATAAATAAATATCCAAATTTTGATATACCGGGTGACAACGAAATCGTTATACAAGACGTCATTCAGTTGTCTTTAAAGTTAAAAATTTGAAAATTGGGTGGAACGGGTAAGTCATTGAGACGCACATTTTTCGTAAAAAAACAATTGAATATCACTTCCGGTTACTCCGGAAATGGATCCGTCAAGAAATTTTTATGGAACCCTGTATATTTTTTTACACAGTTGGATAGAGCTTAAAATTTCCTTTCCAATGACATATCACAACTAGGGATGTGCGATGTTCATCGATTATTGAAAAACATCGATGTTTAATACCCGATGTTTCGATGTTTCAACATCGATGTTGAAATTTTAAAACATCGATGTTATCATCGATGTTAGTTGTAAAAATCGACAATAAGAAAAGGGTTAAAAGATAACTTTTATTTTGAACCATATATGTAATTTCCACATTTCTCACTAGTTTGAAGATTCGAAAATGTCACTTTACTTTTGTTCACTTTTAAAGCAGGCCGAAAGTGATAGTTCTCCTGTCACTTTCGGCCTGATAAATTGTTCTTTCACGCCTAAACATAAATCCAGGTGCGATGTTTGTATTTAGAAGTAGATGTAACATGTGCTGCACATTGCACAATGTGTTTATATTGTTGAAATTATGTCTATCAACTTAGCGAGACAACTTCGGAAAATAGATTTTCCGTTATGCCAAGAATTTGCCGCTTTTTTGCCGCTAATTAAATGTGGAATTAAAAAATTTGCCGCTTTTTTGGTTTTTTCTTAATTACGTGTTTTGCTAACTTGACGTCAAGATAGCGAGACATCACTAAATATGTCAGCAGTAAAAAATTAGGTAGATGAAAATTTGCCGTTTTTTTGCCGCTAATTAGTTGTGTAAACCAAAAATTTGCCGGTTCTTTTTTTTCCATAAAAAATCAAGTTTAAAAAAAAATCATTTGTTTCGCTAACTTGACGTCAAGTTAGCGAGACATTATCACTAAAAATGTCAGTAGTGAAAAATTGAATGAATGAAAATTTGCCGTTCTTTTGCCGCTAATTAGTTGTGGA